CAAAAATCATAAGAATATTTCTTTTCTCACTTCCACCGTCCATTTTTATATACAACAAATTTTTATAGCCAAAATATACAGATTTTACAAAGAGGTTCTTGCGGAATATCGTAGATGTTTAGGGTGCTAATACCTTCCCTTTGCATAACCAACCCCCATACCTTGAATCTTTCCCCCTCTTTTTTGGTTATTCGCTCTTTTCCCATTCCTTTGGAAACAATAAAGCGCGGTGGCGATTTTCATTTTGATTTGTATAAATGCTAGTCAATCCAATGGCTTAGTCTTGAACATTTCTACCACTACAGAAAAATGGCGACTTCACTGGCACTATGCCAGAAATAACCTACGAAAGCGCTTTTTTTGGGCTTTAAAAGCGCTTAAAAGCGCTCTCGTAGGTGGCGCTGCTAAAGGTTTTAGCAGCGCTTTTTGTTCAGAAAAAAGCGCTTTCATAGGTGTATTCAGAATGCGTGTCAGGCAATCTAAAGTAGGCCTATAAGAGCGCTTTTTGTTCAGAAAAAAGCGCTCTCGTAGGCCTACCTATGAAAGCGCTTTTAATCAAAAAGAGCTTTCATAGGTAGGCCTACGAGAGCGCTTTTTTCTTAAAAGCGCTTTCATAGGTTTTCTACTGAAAAATCTAAAATTTAAAAAATTTCTAAACCTGCATTTTTTTGCAGCAAACCTGTAATTCTTAAACCGGTATTTTACAATCTAATCTAGAAATACCAATATATATTAGTTTTAATCCAAATACCAAATGTAATTCAAATACCAAATATTATATATATATACAAATACCATTATAATCAATTCATATCCAAAATATATATACACCATGGTAATTCAATATTAACATGTATTTAAACGTAACAAAATACACCCTAAGAAATCAGCTATATAACACTAAGTAAATCAATCCTAATCTACATATATATCCAAGGTCCTGATCCTGCAATATGAACATAATAACACGGTCAGTGTTGTATACACAAAACAATATATTCATAATTAACCAATTTTCACACAACAATGTATTCGTACCTTATTATAAGATTCTTAGCTCAATAAAATATTGGCACAACTCCTCTTTGAGTTCTTCCAATTGACGTGGCGAGTAATATGGACAATTGTATTGATAAAAATACTACATTACAAAACAAAATATATGCATGATTTAGTTTAATGTAATAAATTATATGCAAAATCCGATAAGTAATAAAACAAAGTATAAATCCATACCGTGATTGGAATCTCGATTTCATTCATTTGAATGATTTCTTTGATAAACTTCAAAACGAAGTATCCGCAATCTATGCCGTTTTGTTGTTGAGGGCACTACATAGAAAAACAAATAAGATTATACACATCTATTGATTTATCAAGTAGCATAAATATTATAAGCAAAATTGTTGAAATTTATATACCTGTACTTTGATCCAATTAATGTTGTTTGCTTTAGACCGTGGTACTCATGCTTCCCTTTGACATCGGAATACTTGTATTGAACTGATGACAAAATTAAAATATTTATTTAGAACAATGACATTGAAATAATTAAATATATAAACACAAATGAATATTTAGAATAATGTCACTTACGTATCAATCAATAGCTTCATTTCCGGATAATTTGTCCAATCACCGTCAACCGAATTCAGGTAATAGACCACTTCTTTTATGGGATTGATTGCAAGCAACAACCAGTGACATCTATAAATTAAAGCAACAATTTAGAAGCGAATTTTAATGTAAAAAATACAAATATTAAAAGGAGCTTAGAATGAAAATCTAACCCTGTATTATAAGGCAAAAGATACAAGCTCTCTGTACTGGCAGTTGTCATGAATCTTTCGACCAAGTGTTCTCTTACTGAATCAGGTTCCCTAGAAATTGTTGCTCCGCTGACACGGGAGGAAGACACGAAACGGAATCTATTTGACAATTGATTCCCGCGCATCAATTTGTAAAATAACATCCTTAAATAAAAACATAATTAATATTAGACTATTTCAATTAAATGTTTAAAAAAATGTTCAACCAATTAAATAATATATTGATCGGGTTACCGGATGTACGAGTGCATCACACTGATGCCTAACTCTCGATGATGAAAGATTTGTTCCATGTCCTCTAATCCAATTGTTTCGGTACATGGAAAACCAAAGACAATTTCATCCACATCGATTTGACGAATTCCATCATTCATCAAATCTGATGTGCCAACTAGTGTCTCCAGACACTGTCGATACCTAGGCACAAATTTACGGACATGAACCTTCTTCTTAGGTGGAACCCTACTAACTTTCTGGCTCACCTGCTGTGACTGATGTTGAGAAGGTACCTTAAAAATCATATAGAATTATGTAAGATACAAAGTTATGCAGTTTTTTATTCCGATCATAAATGAAACACTTTAAAAGTACCTGTCTTTGCGATGCAATAGACTCGCCGCGCTGCAAAATCCATTTATCCTTAGATGCGGGTTTTGTAGGAGTCTAAAATTACCATGTATAAAATTCAGGTCAGAACTGTCAGTTGAATACTTAAAGATTCATAATGGTTTTCAACATACCTGATCATCTATGCAGATGAGGTCTGATGGCCATGCCACAAAAGATCCTACTGCATCTCGCAGCAATGTGGTCTCCGCAACAATGTCAGGTACCGGTAGCAATGCATTCATATCTAAAACAACATCAACCGATACCTTCATGTGGCCATCCGGGAGCGGTCTATGGTGAATTAAATCTCCCGAGGTGTTGTGCACTTTTCCCTTGCCAACTACCCGATAAGTCGGAGACGCTAGATACAACTGACAACATGAAATGCCCTAAACCAATAATAACCGTTAGACTTCCTTTAATGTTGACAATAATAACCGTTATAATTATACTTTCTCTAAATATAATGGATTATCATCTTAATTACCTCGGGAAAATTTTGTTGACAGTTGATACTAGCCTTGTCACTAGTTTCTTTCAACTGTGAACTGCTCCTTTCTGCCATATATCTCTCTTTGTCCCTCTGCAGTTCACGGACTTGTGCTTGTAAATCCTGCAATGTTTGCAACACTTCTGCATTGCTAGGATTTCTTTTTCTTGGATTGTTATACAGAGAGGTAGGAGTCACACCATGGCCTTTACCCCTCACTCGTCCCGGATACTCAGCAACACATAGTGCTCGACTGAGTACGCTCCTGATATTCCGGTTATCACTCGTGGATACCGATTGCGATATAGTCTCCTGTAATTCATTTAAATATCGATAATTAAAGACACAACGTTAATTATATATTAATTAAAGACATAATGGTATACTTACACACTCATCATAAATATGTTGCAGATCGGGGTTAACAACTTGATCTCTGCCAACACGAGCTTCCTTCCACAGCACATGTGCAGGTAGTGATGTTTCGTCACTCTGCGTCTCCTCCAACTACGCATTGTTACAAATAATAAAATCATCAATACACATTGTTACAAATTAATAATACACATTGAGATAATTAATAAGATCGTAGAATTGAGATTTACTTACAATTTTTTCCTGTAAGCGTGCATATCCCAAACGACCTTTTTTATATGGATATGTGGGTTTTGACGCTCTATCCCGATTTACAGCACTCACTTTCTTGAAATTCTCGTCTCTTCTTTGGCCCACAAAAGCAACCCATTCTACGGGTGTAATGAAGCTCTCATATTTATTTGGTCGTTCAGGATCCTCTTCAACAAAATTTCCTTCATCGTCTTTAAGAAACTTATTTGTCAAAAAATTTCTCCACCCTCTATGTCTTTTTCCGGCCAAGCCCATTATATACTTTTTGCGGGCATCTTCAATGTTAAAAGACCTCTACAAAAAAACATACGCATAAAGGGTGTTAGTATATGTAATTTAAAAACAATATTTTCGTCAAAATAAAGCAAATAACAACAACCATATATGATACCTTTATCTCGGTCCAAATTCTTTCTTTAGCATGCAACTCTCCTTTTTTCCAGCTAGGAGTGGTGATCGGAATATGCATACGAACAAGCGTACCGATGTAGCTTGTCAGGTTTGCAGAATTAGGCCCAATTAGTTGGTCATCATTATTCCAATCTACATTATACTTAATACCTCTATCTCTATCGCAGATGATTCCCCGCATGATAGTTATGCCTCGTGTGATGTCCTTATCTGAAGTGTCTTGTGGAACATTATCTTGTAGAACATCTCCTTGTGGAACATTTTCTGAATTATCTTGTGGAACATCTCCTTGTGGAACATTGTGATACATTTTCTGTCAAAACGCAAAGTATACACGGAATGAATCCGTATCAAGAAAATGCAACATACAAAAGACAATTTAAGACAAATTCATCACAATATATACCAGTAATTTGAGGAAGAAAGTTACCTCTCAGATGTTTCGAACTCTAAGAAACGCGGAGAATGAGCGTCATACGTCGAACTAGGCCGGGAAACGCTGCAAATTCATAGAATGTTATTCAATATTTCGGATCGATTGTCGAAAGATATATACTATTTTAACATAAAGGTTCACAATAAATGTCACATATATATTTTCAATGTTTGGGAAAGCTATGACAATAATACAACACAAATATTAGAAATAGTGAATTCACAAAGTCAACATAAACCCACAAATATAATCCAAAACACAAACCATTTCAATGTTACCACCAAAATTATGTAGCATGCACCCGGAGAAATAAAACATACATCAACCCACAAATAAGAAACATATAAACAAAAAATAAGTAGAAAAAGGATAGTGTTAGATTTGTAAATACATAATTAAAAGATATTTGAAAAAAGGGAAATATACATAATTCTATATACATAATTCTATAGATACAAAGCATTACAAAAAAGGGAAATAACAATTATAACTAAAAGATATTTGAAAAGATGCCATGTAAGGGACTTTTATATCCATTTTCATATGTTTTTTTACCTTACAATCTTCGGAGGCATTTGATGACCAAACTAAAAAATGAATGTTTGGATCAAATGTTTGTTGGCAAAATGCTTATAAAAATCTATTTGCCGGATGTTCTGAGATTTTGGCTACTAATGATAAAAGATCTAGATTAGCTTGGCATTTAAGTGATTGTTTTCAAAGAGATTCTGGCAGGCCTTCCTTTCCTCACTGTGACTCAAAAACACCGATTGCTAAATGTCTGAGAAACTTAGATGATCTTGCTCATAAGGTTTATCTCGAATTCTACCTCGAAACCAACTCCATTTGCTATCAACTACAGTTAAGTGAAGTTTTTTTTTTCTTTCAATTTCTAATATTATTCAATAATTCAATTTTTTTAAAGAGTGATTCTTTGATGTTTTTGCCTCAACTTGAACTAAGTTTGTATATTTGTACAGGACACATGCATTTAAACATGAAACTGAGAGACTTGTAACTGAATTGAAAAATTCTGCTCAATATGTGGAGGACAAGTTAGATAGCATTGAAGAGAAATCAGATTGTCTATTACAAAACTCAAAACAAATTTCCGAATCTCTCGAATCAGTTAATAGTCACACACAGTTAGTAGCACAAACTGTCAAGAATGTGGAAGGCAATATTGATGTGGTATTAAGACATTCCAAGAGTTTCTATGAGCAAACTACGGAAATGAGAAGAAGAAGAAACTAAACGGTCAAATAACGGAACAGATAATGGAAGAAGAAGAAACTTACCAAGATGGACAAGAACGCAGTGAACGGCGGCGACGACTGAAGAAAAGGGAAGAACGACGGCGACGAAGGAAGACGAAGCAGCAGTGAACGGCGACAGGAATGAGACGAACGGTAACAGGAAGAAGAAATGAAGAAGACGAAGAAATGAACAAGTGAGGGCAAATTTCGTATTTAGGGATATAGGCTACGAAAGCGCTTTTAAAAGCGCTTTCTAAGACCCATATATGAGAGCGTTTATGAGGTAAAAAGCGCTTTCGTATGTCCCCCATATAAGAGCGCTTTAGAAAGCGCTTTCGTAGGTCCCCCTTTCAGAGCGCTTTTCAAAAGCGCTTTTATAGGGCCACCTATAAGAGCGCTTTTCAAAAGCGCTTTCGTAGGTTAGATATTTCAAATACCTATGAAAGCGCTTTCTGAAAAGCGCTTTCGTAGGAAACCCTATAAAAGCGCTTTTTTTAAGCGAATTTTTTTTAAAGGCTACGAAAGCGCTTTCTCTTAAAAGCGCTTTCGTAGATGCGCTGCCAAAAATTGTTTTTTTCGTAGTGTGGGGACATATTGACCTCTTGCTGGTCCATCCCTAAGTGGGTTGAGCCTATATTTGTTTATATCTGTATATGTGTTATTATTGTTTATGTGTTATATTTTGTATATATGTTTGTTTGGATTTTCCTGGTTTTCAGGGTACTTGGTGATTACTTATAAGTCCTATACCCGGACTTAGGCAAACTTTAAGATAGGACGGGCGGTATAGTCATGTTAACTTTGAGGGATTAATCCCAAAAAAGGAGGCATGAGATCCCCCACTCAATGGAGGCCCCTTTGACTGTAGTGTCGTTTATCGAGTAATCGGGAAGACGTACTGCTTTCGACCTGGGAGCCTGCTGAAACTGAGGACCGTAGAATACCTAACCCATCTTGGCCTTTTAGGTGTAGTGCGGAAGCTATGACGGAGTAATCCGGAAATAGTTGTCACACAATACTATGCTCGGACGAGTCTTTCTTGAGAATATTAATAATTACCGAGTTAATCAGGAAGTTGGTAATATCCGAAGGAAGGATGTAGACTCTGAGAACCTCTAGAACCTTGTTCGGCAGGTGATAAATTTTTAGACCAACACCTTATGGGTAGTACCTTCGACTTCATGCTCGTGACGTTGAACCTATGAACCCTATATGTGTGATCTTGTGTGTGATTGTTGCATCATGCATCCATGCACTCATAAGCATCTTTTGAAGAAAACAATATTTCAAGGGATTTAAAGGTTGACTATTTGTGAATATCTCAGGTACTTTTAATCATGGATTCTGGAAAAGAAAGACCGAGAAATACAGTTTCAAGGATCCTAAGATAGATGAGTTGGTCAATCTAATTCCAAAGATCGAGTGTTCTGTAGACTTTCGGAAGAAGTATGGATCCATTATTCCTCTCATGAAGCTGAAGATGAAGGTGGGTATTCTCTCGACCTTGGTCCAGTTCTATGATCCAGTGTATCACTGCTTTACTTTTCCCGATTATCAGTTGATGCCTACACTGGAGGAGTATTCTTATCTATTGGATTTACCTGTTACCGATCGTGTTCCTTTTATTGGTTTGGAGGGCGAGACAAAACCACATGAGATCGCTGCTTTGATTCATCTGGGGAAGTCTGAGGTGGAAGCCCATATGACTACTAAAGGAGGGATTAGAGGATTACCAGCTCAGTTCTTATTGGAGAAAGCTCGTTACTTTGCCAGAATGAAGAGTACAATTGCTTTTGAGGCCATCTTTGCTCTACTTGCTTACAGATTGTTCTTATTTCCTAATGTGGACAAGTTTGTCGACATTAACGCTATCAGGATTTTCATGATTGGAAACCCAGTTCCTACACTGTTGGGTGATGCTTATTACTCTATTCATCTTTGGAGTTCTTATCACGGGGGAATGATTATTTGTTGCACGCCTTTGTTATACCGGTGGTTCATCTCTCATATGCCTCAGCCTGATGCTTTTTGGGATGTCAAGAAGGAACCCCGTTGGGATCCTAAGATCATGGCACTTACTCACTCGGATATTGATTGGTATCATCGAGCTTACCAGTATATGGAGATTATTGATAATTGTGGTAGTTTCCCCAATGTGCCTCTTCTTGGTACAAAGGGAGGAATTAACTATAACCCTTTTCTTGCACGGCGACAACTTGGTTATCCGATGAGGGATAAACCGAACAATATTCATTTGAGTAGTTTCTTTCTGAAGGAAGGAGAAGACCACATGGAAGCTAGAAAGTAGATTGCGAAGGCCTAGCGTCACATTCATAAGAAGAGTATGAAGGATTTGGGACCTAGGGGTGCTATTTCTTTGGAGCCATATCTTTAGTGGGTCCGATTGAGAGCCATTCAGTTGAAGATGCCCTATACTCGGGAGACACCCATGCCTGACCTATTTGTGAAGACCACTCCTCCTTTATTAGATGATGTAGAAGAGCTGCAACTCGCTTTGGTTAGGATGCAACAGGAAAGGGATGCTTGGAAGAACAAGTTCCAGACTTTAGAGAGTTCCTACAGAGCAGACCTGAAGGAGAAAGACAATTTGATCGAGATCCTTGAGAGTCGAGCGGTGGAGTCTATGGAGAGGCAAGGGGATTTATTTTCCCCTAAGCCTCAAACAGGTGTTGATTACTCACTTTCTGATCTAGATGATTGGAGGGAGGTTGCCATCAGACATGTGGAAGAAAACCAGAGGTTGAAGGCTCAGATTTCCAGGCTCACAGGAAAGCGCTAGCGTACAGATTGATCTCCATTAGTTCCTTTTCTCAGGATTTTAGATTGTATTTTCATCTTGAACTTGGGATCATTGAAACTTGTAATCCATTTTGAAGTTATTATAATAAAATTTTTCAGTATTTCAAAAGCTTTATTACTTGGATGTTTGCAATATGTCTATAAATCTTAAATCCCTTGAAATATTAAATAATGAAGTAAAAATAATCATGTGCATTGCATATCATGCATCATATTGCACATATTTCTTGCATTTGTTATGCATACCCAGGTGTCTTACCCAGCTTCTTTACTTCATTCAGCAAGCTAACTCATCACTACAACACTCAGGCTAATTTCAAAAAGAAGATGGATAACTTAGAACAGGAGAATCGCGAGCTGCGCAAAGAAGTTTTTGCTTTGAAGGTCGGCATGGCCAATCTAACTGCTCTGATGGAAGCTCTGGTGGTTGCTCAGAATTAGCCACCGAGTGTTCAACCTCAACCAACAAGGGCAAGTACTGAAGTTCTGACTGTTCCTGTATCTGCTACTTCGGCTGTTGTTCAAAAACGTATGCCTCAAGGTTATCCATGGGGAATGCCCGAGAATTTTGCACCTGAAGGTTTCAATCTTGGCCCTCAAGATGCTCCAGTGGTTCAGACTGTTGTTACTCCTGCACCTCCTGTAGTGCATACTGTTCCTACTGCACCTCCTTCGGTGAATTTGGCTCCGCTTGTTAATGAAGATGTGTGTCGTCCTTTCCCTCCACCGAGTGAAGACTTGGGTCTTTATGACAGAATGGATGATTTTAAAGAGCAATTTGATAGAATGCAAAGAGAGATGAAGGCTCTTAGGGGAAAAGAGCTATTTGGGCAGAATGTGAATGAGATGTGTTTGGTCCTGAATGTAAAGATACCTGCTAAGTTCAAGGTCCCAGAATTTGAGAAGTATAAGGGAAACACTTGCCCTCGTGCTCACTTGGTGATGTACGTAAGAAGAATGTCTACCCACACCGATGATCAGCGTCTGCTGATTCACTTTTTTCAAGATAGTTTGACCGGCGCAGCATTAAAATGGTATATGAGCTTGGACAGCGCCAACATCCATACTTTTAATGATTTGGGAGAAGCATTCATCAAACAATACAAGTACAATATAGACATGGCGCCCGACCGTGACCAACTTAGGGCCATGGTTCAGAAAGACAGGGAATCATTAAAAGAGTATGCACAGAGATGGCGCGAGGTAGCCGCCTAAGTGATTCCTCCCATGGAAGAGAAAGAAATGACTAAGATTTTTCTGAAGACGCTGGGCGCTTTCTACTACGAAAGGATGGTAGCAAGCGCACCAAATGATTTTACAGAGATGGTAGGAATGGGTGTCCGCCTAGAAGACGCTGTAAGAGAAGGCCGTATGATGAAGAGTGAAGGATCCGGAGGTGTGAAGAAGCCATCTTATGGGTTTACCAAGAATAAAGAGGGGGCACAAATGCTATTATACAAGAGAGGAGAGTAAACGCTCCTAGAAGGAATTATCAGCGTCACCAGCAAGTCGCCCCAGTTACTCCTGTAATGAGTGCCGCTCCGACTACCGTTGCTTATCAAAGACAGTCCCAGCAGGGGAACCAAGGGAATAATCAGAGAAGGGAGAACTATGACCCTATTCCCATGAGCTATGCAGAGCTACTACCAGCATTGATTCAGAAGAAGTTGGTCCAGACACGACCACCTCCCGCCGTACCATCACCATTGCCTTGGTATTACAAAGCAGATCAAACATGTGTTTTTCATCAGGGAGCACCAGGGCATATTGTTGAGAATTGTTATCCTTTGAGGACTGAAGTGCAAATGTTGGTGAAGTCTGGAATTCTATCTTTCAAGGATATGGGACCTAATGTGAAAGACAATTCTCAACCCAAACACGGGGGAGTAAATGTTGTAAATATGGTGGCCGGTTGTCCAGGCGATTTCTGGATTTTTGACATTAATCTGGTTAGAGGAGATTTGGTGAAAATGCATGCAGACCTCTGTTAGTTCAACTACTATACGCATGACCACACCGGTTGTGTTGTTTGCAGTACAGACATACAGGGTTACGAGAAGATAAAGGCTGATTTATTAGAGATGATGGATGAGGGTTTAATCCATATAATCAGGCCTAGGGAAGAGTATGAAGAGGAAGTGAATATGGTTTCTGGATGTCCTGGTGAATTCAGAATTTTTGATGTGGAGTATTTGAATGAGGATCTCGTGCAGTTGCATGCTACCTTCTGCCGTACTGCTGGTCAGGTGGAACACCAATATGGGTCTTGAATAGTTTGCTGTCGAGACCCCCGAGGATGTTCTATTGTG